CTTTTCTCCTCTCCCTATCTCTCCCATATAAAAATGGTAGTTTCACGATTAATCATCTGATTATCTTTGCATTCACCAACAGCAAAATTAAGTAATGCAGATGTTGCGCTGTACCTTCTGTTCCTTCACTTCTCGTTGCTGCTGCCGGTGGCTGTTTGGCTTTCTAAAGCTTCGGGTTTGCTGCCGTGTCTCTCCCTTGGTACCTCCATCCTTCCTCCTTTGCCCCTTTCTCTCCCCCTGCCTTTGTTTGTTGTTACCTCTTTCCGTAAGCTCTGTAAGCTGTCCCCGTTTTTTCAGTCACTGTTTCTCCTCCTCTCACTTACTAATTCGCTTTCTTTTTGTTTTATTTTACTTTACTGCAGTGGTTTTTTTTCTTCCTCCTCCATCCCCTCCAATCCCCTCCCGCTATTGGTCTCTATTCGCCTACCTTTTACTATTGTTCACATTTTTCCGCCCTTTTTTTTTTTGCAATTCATCCGAAATTCCGTTGTTACTGTTGTTTGTTTCATTTGTCTATTTGTTCACTGATTGATCAACTAATTTGTTAACTCTGCTAAGTGTATGTGAAGTTTAAACAGCAATAAATTATTGCTGTATTTGTTCCAATTTTTTTCTTTTCTTTTTTTTTTCCTTTATTGAAGTTTTTAAATAACATTAGTAAAAGAAAAAAAGGACGAAATAAAAAGATAGGAAAGGAAAAAAAATTTTTTCCAGCAACAAATTTATTTAACAAACAGTGCTTCGTGCTTTGATTGTTAAGTGCCATAATTTCTGTGACGCTAATCGTCGCCTTCCCGAAAGGTTATTGGTAATTAATGGTCTAAACGCATCTTTAGAACATTTTGGATTGTATAAAAAAAAAAATAAAATGAAAGAAAAAAATAAGTGAATAAATGTTTTGATGGAAGCTAAATTTTCTAGTTTTCTTTTTTCTTTAGTAATTATTTGCTGGCATAATTAAGTTCTATGCTAAAATGAATAGCTGAAAAGAAATAGAAGAAAGTAGCAGGAAAAAAAAAATTGCATTTTTTTTCTTTGAAATGTTTGATTCTTGTAGCTTTTTCTGTAAAATATCTATAAATTTTTTTTTTTTTGCAATGCTTTCATTTTAGCTTAGTTGAATAGAATTTTGCTTGTAATTCTTTTACTACAAGATATAAATGCGTTTTTTTCCTTTCATTTAGAACATTTGAAATTGTTATGCTGCCACTGTTGTTAGCACAACCGTGATGAAGCATTGAAATAGAATTGGTGATGCTCCGGAAAATATGTTCATCGATTAATCTTTCGTTATTAATGTAAACAGTTTTTATTGGAATAGATGGTGAAGGTTAGGCACAAAAAAGCAGGGTAACAAGGAAGGAAGGAGGCAAGGAGGCAGGTTAGCAAGGAAGCGAGGAGGCGAGTTATAATGGAGGTGGGTTAACAAGGAAACAATTTGGCAAACAAGTGAGGAGATAAGGGGCATGTGGAAATATAGTTGGAATTAGTACAGCGTTAAAATTTTGATTTCAGGATCGACACTGTTTCATAGGCGAGGTTAAAAGTTGGTTGTGGTTTCTCCGTTTTGGCTGAAAGAAAGCGGTATTTTTAGTGTTGTTGTACGGTTATAGTTGGTTATAGTAGTAATGAAGAAGGGCAGGAAAAAAATAACGTACGAGATGTATTTAATTAATAAATGAGCATTGAAAGCAGTTATTATTTGCAATATTTAAGCGTTTTGGGCATCTTTACTGGAGTTGTAGGGCACAGCAGGTTGACTGATGCTTGATGCCGATGATTTCCTTCTTTTTTTTTTGTTCCACATGCTATTTCCTTTGCCGTTGTTGTTGTTACTGACGTTGATTCTTATATTTTTTGGTGCAGCTGTTGATAGTGCTACTTGTGGTGGTATTGATGATGGTGGTGATTGTGATGTACAATACATTAGTTATTATCACAAAGTTTTTTCAAACTGTTCAAGTGAAAAAAAAAGGAGAGTAAGATATTGAAATTTTTCTTTTTTTGTAGAATTGTTTTTTTCTTTTGCTGTTATTGAAGTTTTTTTTAATTTCTCAGATTTGATGACGATGATTTTTTAACTGTTTCAAAGTTGTATTCATGA